CGTGAAGAGATGGACTAAGAAAGTAAGGACATTTGGCTTCTTTGGAGTCAGTTTTTACTGGAAGCTGCAGAAAACTAGGTTCAGTTACTGGAAATGTTTCTGTGGCGTCTGTGTGCTCCTGCTGAGAACCATCATCTAAATACAAACCACAGCCCGGTTTCCAGAAAAGGTGGAACACTGCACTCTTAAAGTGAAACTGAGGAGCAGTGTTGGTCAAGTTACTTAAAATTAGTAGTTAGTTACTAATTACAGATTACTTCTCCAAGAAAGTAATCCAGTTACTCTGATTACTTATTTTTAAAAGTAATTAGTTACTTTATTACTTAGTTACTTTTTAAAAACATGATATACAACCTGAATATGTAATAAAGAAATAGACCTTTCATCCCAAAAAATGAATAAAATCACAGATTCCGCAGCATTTAGTCCTGTTGCTCTGTCACCTGTTTAGCAGGAGTGGGGCGAGTGGAGGTTTGTCCACAGCGGTCATGTCAGTGGGGGATCCGGGGGTGCTTACATCACTGTCATGAGACACACTCTCACAAACAGAATCATGGTTTAGTAATGCAGCGTGCTTATAGGAAAGTAACAGTAATCTAATTACTTTTTTGGAATAGTAATCCCCTACTTTACTCACTTAAAAAAAGTAATCAGATTACAGTAACGCATTACTGCCCATCTCTGCTGAGGAGTTTTCTTTTATGTCCTTGTCCTAACTACTTTTTAATATCTAACTGGCATCAGTGAGTAAATGTTATGTACAAATATAAAAGCTGCAGAGTCATCTCTCCATCATAAACAACACAACGAGGCTGGGCACACATCTCCCAGAATCCAACTGGGATCTTTTGCACGTCAGGTGCAAACCAGTATGCTCCAGAACCTCAGAGAACGCAGCGTGACAAAAACACGAATGTGTGGTTTGAACGATTGCTTTCACCTCGTGTATTATTGTAAATGTAAACAATGACAGTGATTCAGATACATTTTACTCTCAAACCTGTAACTACATCATAGTATTTGAGTTTTGTTTGTTATATTGCTGATTGTTAATTGACAATTGTTGACCTGTAGTGCGCTCCTTTCTGACTCTGTGTGTGGTCGTTTCAGGTCGACTTGTTCTCCAAGTGGCTGTTGCTAATTCCCATCCATTTAGAAATCCACTGGTCCCTCGTCACGGTCACCATGGCGACCAAAACCATCAGCTACTATGACAGCCAAGGCATCGTGTTCAGACACACCACAGATGTGAGCAACTCCGC